TTTCTTAAGATTATTCTCTTAAAGTTATTTTCAGTTTTACACTTTAATATTTTATTTACTTGTCGTTTACGTAATAATTTCTAAATGTACTTAATAATGAAATAATTTCTAAATGTTTATACACAATAAATTTATATCTTGTACCGTTTATTCACTATACTCATTACAATAGTGACACTCAATAAAAAAAATACTTTAAACATAATGACTTCTTATATCATGAATATTTTACTACAGCTATATTACTGCAACTTTCGATATCACATGTTGTTGAACTTTTGAAAACTAATTTCTACTGCATTTTCAAAATTTTCTGGTTTTTTGTTTGTATAACCACTTTTAGACCACGAATATTTAAATAAATTGTGATATCGCGGGGATGACAATTAATTATGTATTAGAGATTATAATTTTATTATTTCGTTCATGTAAATTTATATTACTTTCTAGTAATAAAACAATATCTAAAAATCTTTTAGCAAAATTTTTCGAAATTTTAAATCTGTAAACATCTAATGGTTGTATTTTCTCTGTAGTTTCTCTGTAGTTTCGATTTAATCATAGTAGTAATATATTTTCCTGCAGGTGTTAAATTTGAAATAATATTGGGACAATGTCCAGTCCATGAATCGATAAGAAAAACGGGTAAATATTCCCCTTCACACAACCAGTCTCAATTGACCTCCGAGTGACCTTAACCTTGACTATGATTCTCAAGAATGTCAAGGTCTTTCCTTCGCTCGTTATTAGGAAGTTATTAATGAAAATGTTATTATGAATAAGATACTTTTTTCAACACAACGTACACCATTCCAATATGAAGAATGTATAACATTTTATTCATTACTTGACGATACATCATTTAATGACTAATTGTGTAAAGGCGACCATTTACCGCTTCTTTTAACCACTTTAAAATGATCTGTAAGAAATATAAATGTTAAATTAATAACTTTTATGACTATTATGAGATTCTTAAATAAAAAATAAAATCTTTTATCAGATTGAAGGACTCTTCCTATACAAAATAAATAACAATAAATAAAAATTAAGAATCAATCCATTTCTTTAAAAAAGTCATACAATTAAAAGAATAAATTGCAAATAAAGAAAAGTAAAATTAAAGAAAATATATAATAAAAAATAATAAAAAATAATAATAATAACTCAATTTAAATATAAACTACAAGTTTCGGCTACAGGATTGAGCCCTCTTCAGACATTAACTTATCGAAAAAAAGCGCAGTACAAAATTAATTATCGTAAATGTTCGCATATTCATTATATTCACAGTTCGGATGAGTCTTGATGTAGAACTCGACATTATTCACATACGATTGAACAGTCAAATGTATTTCATATCTCTTGGAAAAAACTTCTAGTTGATAAAAAAGATAAAAAGACTTCTTACGAAAAAAATAAAACGCAAATAAATTAACATTCCGGAATTCCAATAAGAAATAAAAACTCACCAAAAATCATATGCAAATTATTCAAACAAGTGTGTTCATATAAATATTAAAAAAACCATTAGAGAATATATTATATAAATACAAATGAAACACAGATGTGTAAGATGGACAATATGTATCGATTATTATGTACGTTCGCTGATACGGATCACCACGGACTGAGAGAAGAGACAGACTATTAGTATCGAAAAGTCAAACCTTATTTACAATAAGTATATGCCTTATGAAGATCTTCGGTGTAAGTTTGTAAATTTAAATTATTTTTCTGCTTCTTAATATTGAGCATCTCGGAAATGAAACGTTTCTTATAACAAGACTCTTCATCTAAAATTTTAACATTATTCCATTGGAAATCATGATCATGCTGAAGCCTGTTCCATTATGACAGAACGGACAGAAGTGTTATGTCTAATATGATTACGATGTTTTGTAATTCTGGTTTTTAATTGTTTGTCCGTCTCTCCAACGTACGACGCATCACAATTATTACACGATATCTTATAGACTATATTGCTCTTAGATGTATGGGGACAAATATTCTTTTGTACTTTAATATATTTACTCATTTTATTAGGACTTCTTTTGTACTTTAATATATTTACTCATTTTATTAGGACTATGAAAAGATACCGTGATGTCGGTTTTATTGAAATTCGTTTAAATTTTTCTATGTAAAGAAAAATAAATGGTACCGTAAGCCAAGATGCAGACTTATTTGCACCGACATTGTCAACCAAATCTTTATGTGCTATATGTCTATTTTTAATTAAATTTTTTATACGTTGATTAACTGTGTCAAAAATAAAAGTAAATGGGTAGTCATTATCTAGTAAAATGTTAATAATAAATGTCAAATTTTTGGTATGAAACATAAAGTCAAAAAGTAAAAAAGCTCTGTCCAGCAAAAAAATTGTACCTTTTCTTTGTGCAAGGATGATTTGAGTTGAAATTTAAAAACCTTCCTGAAAAGGTAGGCTTATGATACCAATCAAAAATAAAACGGTTCCTGTTCATAGAAATAATGATATCTAGAAAGTTTATTTCATCCCCCCTATTTCTGTAGTGAATTGAAGACGCGGATGAAATAAATTAAATTGTTGCAGTAAAATATCTATTTTTGAGGGAGAAACTGCGGTACAAATGTCATCTACGTATCTATAATAAAATAAAATATCCAAATTCAACATCAAGGACACCGTCTCTAATCTCCTCATTACTAGGTCCGCTATTACAGGTGATAAAGGAGAGGCCATAGGAGTGCCGAAAAAATAAAATACAATATATCATAGAAATGACAAAGAGATTATAACTTTATTTTATTATTTTGTTTATGCAAAGGACCTTGCACAAAACATACGAAAAATGGGCACAGCAATTTTTTCGGCAGAGTTTAATGTACAATAACTCAAGAACTGTTCATTATTTTACTTCGTGTTCATAAACCTTTTTAATCATGAGGATCAGAATTACAACATATTCCAAATTCAGTCAAATTAGACGGGACCCATTTTCCGTTTTGTGCGGGATCCTTCATATTTACTTTTTAACAGTAAAATATTATCTGAAAATCTATTGTAAAAGAAAATTTATTTAATTACCTGAAGTCATTTTCCCAGATGCTTTTACAATAAGATTTATTGATATAAATAAGGTTTTCTGTACTCTTGGTCCCATAATCTTGATCCCAAATATACCATTAGTTTCTTTTAATACAATAAATAAAGATGTAAATTTCCATTACACGATATTATTGGTTGTATGGTGCATGAGTGTGTTATTGATGATGCATGGATTGCATAACACACTCTATTTTCTTTATTTCTTGATTAGACAATGATCTTCTAGAATAAATTTTCAATTGAAAACCACTTTGATCAGAATTAAAAACATTTTCAGATCCTAATTATTCGATAAGTAGTTTTATTGTTTTCGGAAAATTAACTGTATTGTAAATTAACGGAATCTTCTATTGTTCTTCTAGTTACAAATTTCTAGGTAAAATTTTTTTAAATTTTTCTCGAAACAATTCGGTGGGACTGTTTGAATCTTAATACCCAACTGTAAGATACTTTAAATATAGGATTTAAATTAAACGGATTGATAATCATTTCCAAAGATATTAAACTTTGCTTTGTATCGTAATATAAAAGTAATTTAACAAATGCACAGATACGATTATGACAGAACGACTGCACTGAACGTAAGACTGCTACATGAATATTCTTTGTACTGTCCATTTATTATACTCATCTTGATTGTATATATAAACTTATATTATAAATTATCGCAGTTATCTAATCACTTATTGCAAGTTACTGTAGTAACTTAGTTATTGTAGTTACGAAAGACCAGAAAAATTAAAAAATTCAGTAGAATTTAGTTTTGATAAAAGAGTTCAACAACATGTCATATTAAAGGTTGCAGTAATATAGCTGTAGTAAAATTTATGGTGTAAGAAGTCATATTTAAAACATTTTTTCATCGAGTATTATTGTAATGAGTATAATGAGTCAACGATACAAAATATAAATTTATTACGTATAAACATTTAGAAATTATTTCATTATTAAGTACCTTTAGAAATTATTACATAAACGACTAGTTAAAATAAGATATTAAAGCGTAAAACTGAAAATAACTTTAAGGGAATCTTAAGATATTATAAGGAAGAGTAATGTGTACAGAGATGAATAAAAAAGTTCTACTTTAAGGAGAAATAATAAAAATTATTATAACTCTTAACATTATTTATAATTTGTAATGTTACAAATATCAATTATGTCAATTTCTTTATTCATTAATTTATGTATTTTATTGTTCCGACGACAATTATGCTTTATGAGCATGGATGGCGTATATATGGAAGCATTAATAATTAATTCTCGAAAATAATATGTCGTAATGTAACTTTATTACACATAGTTGAATTCGTAAAAAAATAACCTTTAATTTGGTAAAAATCGAAAAAAATCGAAAGTTTAAGAAAATTATAGGCAGTGGGGTATCTTGATAAATATAAAAATTAAAAAAAATTTGCTGATTTCCGCGCGTTAAAAATGTTGCGTCACTGAATGTTATCGATTTATTATTATCTTTCTCTGTTGTATTCTTTTATGTTCTTTTATGTCTTTTATATTATATTCTTTTTACATCTGAGGAGGGCTCAATCCAGCAGCCGAAACTTGTTTGTTTTATATTTTAATATACGCCGTTGTACTTTTTATTTTATTTTATGTATCTTTGACTGTTATCTTTAATTATATATATTATGCGACGACTCTTTTTCGCCATTTATTTTGTTTATTTTGTTTATACATAAAGAGTCTTTATACCGTTGTTATTTAAAAAAAATTTTTTCTTTATAACTTTAAAGTATACTTGAAACAACTTTTGCTAAAAAAATTTTTTTAAATCTTTTATACTTCCGACGACATTCGCCTTGAAAGAAAAATACTGTTTTTTTTCTAAGGGGTATTTCACCCCTTAAACATAAGTTAGGGCACATATAAAAAAATAGAATGTCTCTCAGATTTTCGTGTTAAACAACATTATATTTCCTGGAGAATCAAATCGGTTCCGGACAGTTGTGAAACTTCCCTTGTTAAATAGTAAGTGTAGTTCTTATTTAATAAAATCCAAAAGATTTTTTTGTTTATCTGTCTTCGTATATTGTTAAGGTTTTCAAAAAAATGAATGGGGATGGTAGGTTAATCACAGCATGGGGCATATATGATTCATTTAGTGACGACTCTTATAGTACCTACTCAAAATTTTATTTATTTTTTTAAAGAGATTCACCTCAGTGATAAATGTTATAAACAATATGATTGGAAACAAGACCATTTATGTTAAATACATTACTTAGATACGAAGCGCTACTCCGGTCTGAATGTTAAGATGTTGAACTACTATATATTATATATTCATTTAAATGAATTAATTTCAGAAAATGATAATTACGCGTCGATATGGTTGTCGGCCTTTAGACTACTTTAGTCTAAAGGCTTAGGACGCTTGCACGGAATGCAAGAGATCCGGGTTCGACTCCTGGTCGAGGCAATATTTTTCGCAATAAGTTTATTATAGTTTTTTAAGATTTAGGAAATTTGGAGGAATTATTAATATTTTAGATTGATTGTGTTGAAAGTCCGACAACTATATCGGCGCGTAATTATCATTTTCTGAAATTAATTCATTTAAATAAATATATAATATATAGTAGTTCAACATCTTACATTCAGACCAAAGTGGCGCTTCGTATTTAAGTAATGTATTTAAATGTTATAAGTTTATAAACAAAAATATCCTACTTATTATTGAAAACACAATTAAAATTATATATAAATAACGGCCAAAGACGAGCAAATAATAAGATGTTGAAATATAATAAATTCTTATAATAATTTTAATGTTAAAATTACAATAAATTACGCGAAACTAGTTTACTATTTTACGAAATATTTTCATAAATTAAATACACTTATTGTAATAAATTATCGATATTTTGCTCCTGTGTATTGACAATGCAATGTCATCAACGTACCTAACATAGAAACCCAATGAAAACAATAATCTTTTGCGAGAAGTTCTCTCTAGATATTGCATAACAAGGTCTGCTACTATAGTATAGGGAAAGTGGAGACAAATAGGAATATCGTAAGATTGTTTATAAAATTTTCTGTTAAAGGAAAAGAACGTAGAATGTAGCACTAAGTTGCTTTAATAAACTTAGTTTTAGGTAAGGTGATCTTGTTTTCTATAATCAACTAACGTCGTTACGGCAAAAAAAAATTAGCTGCCACAGGTAAAAATTAGGTTTTGCAGCTTTATATAGCAAAAATTATATAGCAAAAATTAGGTTTTGCAGCTTTATATATTTAATTCAGTAGCATTATATAGATACCTAACGTCGTGTCTGCGAGGTCTAATTTCCATTATCTGTGAGGCCTAAATATTATCATTGTGACAAGCATTTTGTTATTATGTCGATGTATTGATCATTGCAGCAAATGTTTTCTATGTAGCAGACAATTTGGTAGCAAGAACAGTTTCAGCAAATCATATAATATTTAGCTGTGGTAGAGATAATTTTCTTTTACACGGACATATCTGATAACTATGACAACTAATTTCATGTTGCTAAATAAATTGATCTGTAACAGACATGCATACTTTGCTATCACGTCCTATTAGCTACAGCAGCAAATCCTCTGTGTATTAACAAATTTCATAGTTATAGTAGCTAATGCAATTTTAGATAATTAGAATTAGCTGTAGCCAGAAACATTTTTTTTCCGTGTTATTTACTCTTGATAAATAAGTTCGACAGGAACGTTGGTAAAGAGTGACACCACGTCAAGTGAGATAAATATATGGTTATGTGATAATTTGATATGAGATAAAGCTTTAACTAGCTGAAAGCTATTTTTAACATAAGCTTTTCTAGACAAGAGTCCAAAATATTATATATAAAGGAAACAAGATTGTGGAAACGGATTCTCTATGGAGAAAATTATGATACGTAATGGATTGCCTGGTTTGTGAATTTTCGGCAATGCATATGTCCTCGGTAATGTTGGATTCGTAGAATTAAGGAAATTGTACTTAGATATAAAATTTGCTGTTTTTAACAATTTTTGTAGTTTACATAATAATTTATTAAAATCGGATTATAGGTAAAAGTATCGATTAGAGAACCAAGCTCCAATGACATATGCGTCAAGGTCATGACCCTGAGTGATTTCCAACAAGTTTTAGCCGTCGCTGCTTTGTTAAAAAATTATAAACATAAGATGTTTAAGAAATAATTCATTTCTGCTATACAAAATGTTTACTCTCATCCCACCTTCCCCTGCTTGGAGGGCTAGCAATTTTTACCCGAAGCGACTCTCATCTCACCTTCCTCGCCCCTCCCCCCTCTGCTTGGGGATGCACGACTTTCACCCGAAGCGACTCTTATCTTACCTTCCTCTCCTCCTTCTCTTGCTTGAAGGCGTTCCACGAAAATTGACTTTCATCTTATCTCCCCTCTACTTTAAGCAGGCAAATTCTTTGCATTAAAAACAAATTTTCTGCTAAAGCAGTGAACTTATGTTTGCGTGGAAAGTCGCGCGCCACTAGGCAATGGGGGAAGTGGAATGCAGTAGGTAGATGTATTGTAGTTTAGAATAGTTTTTAATATTATATGTAGCTGAAATAAGACATCATTTTATCAAATTTTTTGTTAATAACTTTTTAATGATGGACGAACGGCGGCTAAAACTTTTTGAAGATCACTCAGGATTATGATCTTGACAATGTATGTCAAGGTCAAGATCATTGGAGTTTAGTCACCTAATTAATACTCTTACCTTTTAGATTATGTCTTAAAATGTAAGTGTCAGTGTCTTGTAATGCTTCCATCTTGTTAATAGTCTGTTTCGTTAATTGCAACAACTGCATTCCCCTTATTTACATGTGTTAAAATTATTTGTGGATTGTCTTTTAAAAACTGCAGAGGAAAGTGAAGCTAAGATAAGATCATCTACTTTAGTTTTAATTTTCGTTACGTTCTTAATGTTTGACAACAAAGAGAAAAACTTATTCCTAAAAGTAGTCTTGTTGTTGACTTTTAATTTTATTAGATTATTTTCTATGTGTTTAATTCTCAGTATTCACATTTAAAAAAAGTCTCTGTCTACTTACTTCCGGATATTTGTAACCCAGCGTTTTCTTTTGCTTGTATCTTAGATTATAGTGCATCGATTTTAACTAATTTTTATTTTAATCTGTCGTTTGAAGACTAAAAAAAAAAAAGAATTTTTCAGTTAGAAAGTCTAAAATGTCGCACAAAAGATATGCAATAAGTGAAAAAAGATCGATAAAAAATGTCTAAATTATGAAAATCGGGTAGGGGAGAGAAGTTACGCTAATTCTTTGTGAGTACTGAGGGTTAATGTTGGTGCACTCGTTGGTGACAGAGTCAATATTGCGAAAAGGGAGACGAAAACCCTCTCCTAATTGTAATAGACATTGAACTTCCGTCGAAAAGTTGACGCTCGATTAATAAACTATTATAATTATCATTAAGTTTTGTGAAATCATACTTATTTTGGAAATTGTTGGAAATATTATTCATGTATGATAGTATCTGGAGACACCGGTTTCCCAAAACAATGTTTAATATATGTGTCAATATTATTATCATGATTATCGTTATTTTTAATAATAGTACAAAAATATTTTATATTACAGTTATTAAAATTGTTTTCTGCTTTTGTTTCTAGCCAATATAATTTTCTAATACAATCGTTTTCTCTCCGCAATATGTAGTCTATTCAACAAGACATTGTATGTTAAGAATGAAACAAATCACTGTCAATATTAAATAGTAATTCTCTTTTAATATATTTAGTAATATTGTGGATTTCGAATTTTAAAAATCTATATTGTGCAAGCATCAGAAATTTCGAGATTAATTAAGTTACTTATTAGCCTATTTAACTTATTATTCGGTATCGTTTTGAACCTATGATTATGGAACTTTAGATTGGAAATTTGTTTGACCTAAATAAATGTTGAGGATGTAAACCTCGTAATTTATAGTTATGTAAAAATTTGATCCTAGAGTAAATTCTCACAGACTCTCTATTAAGATTAATTTACATTTCTATTTGGTTACATTTATGTCAAATATTAAATTAATAACATTAAAATAAAAATAAAAATATGAATAATCCTTGTAACGCGCATATTTCAGGCGGCGCAAAAAATAACAATTAAAATTGAAAAAGGCACCAAAGATTATATCAATAAAGGAAAATTAACGCCAACAAGAACTGAGTACAGTTGTACGTGTGTAATCAAATATAATATATTGTATATTAATCACTAATTACAGACGTTTCAACCATAGGATTAGTCCTTTTTAGTATATAAGTAACAATATCAGAGTCAAATTATAATAATTTGAACATTATAAAAAGATAAGCAGATACAATCAATAAATCATCGTTAGATTGTTGTCCAAAATTACAAATTTTAATGTCGTCTGTTGTACAAGAGAGGTTAGGCAACTCAAAAATTCAAAAAATTCTGAAACTTGATGTGCAAGTAGAATAGTTTATTTGTAACACAAAACTATTTTTTGTTTGTGCGAAATTTCATTTTTAGAGGGTAAAACACCCCTTTGAAAAAAATCGGTTTTTTTTTCTTTTGAAGCGAATATCGAAACTGTAAGAAATAGAAAAAAAAATTCCATATTAAAAATTGAATGGCTTTATAAGTACTACAGAACTGTAATAAAAAAATTTTTTAAAATTAATTATTTATTTTATATCCTCACCACTACTCCTATTTTCAAAAATTTGTTAACGTTTATGTAACTAAAATAAAAGAGCATTTTACGTTGAAAACGACGATGTACGTAAGCTGCTGGAAAAGTTTCTGCAAACAATATGAAAAAAAACGTGTAAAATTCGGTAAATGGCTTTATTGTTTTTCGAAGTATTCGCCTTTAAGATCGATACATTTTTGCATACGCTCGAACTAATTTTCGAAGCATTTTTTCCACTCTAAGGCTATAACCTCAGAAATAAGTGTACGAAATGTTTCAACAGCTGCTTCAGGCGACTCAAATCGCTCACCACGCATCTTATTTTTAATGTTTGGGAACAAAACGAAATCATTAGGTGATAAATCGGTAAATACGGACAATGAGTCATCAATTCGACATTATTATTGGATAAAAAATCAACGGTTTGACGTGCTGTGACAGTTGGCGTTGTCATGATGAAGGATGATGCGACGATTTTGATTTGTTCTACGCAATTCATTTATGACTTCTGGCAAACAAATTGTTGTATACCAATCAGTATTTACAGTCCTTTGATCCTCTAAAGCCACGATTGTCACATGTCCGGTATAACCGAAGAAACAAGCAATCATTTGCTGGCAGCACTGTGAACGAAAAACTTTTGTTGGTTTCGGTTCATTTTGAAATACCAAACAGTGGATTGTTGTTTACTTTCGGGCTCATACGAATAGATCCATGTTTCGTCCCGAAACATGGTAACGATGTTGTAGACCAAATTTGACCGACCTCAGTTGAATTTCTTTGCTCCATTTAACACGAACCTGTTTTTGAACTTCGGTTAAATTGTGTAGGATCCAAGGACTGCAAAGTTTTCATACGCTCAAGTGATCATGCAAAATCGTATGTATTGCTTTCATGTCAATGTCTAAGGATGCTTGAATCTCGCGGTATGTTATATGTCGGTCTCGCTCAATCATTTTACGTACAGCATCAACATTAGTGGCAATAACAGACGTGGACGACCTTCACGGAATTCATCACTAAGAAAGGTACGTCCACGCTGGAATTCGGCAAACCAATTATAAACAGTCCTATTGGATGGTGCTTCATTCCCAAAAGCCAAATGAAGTCGATCGATGCATTGTTTCGAAGTTAGATTACATTTGTAATCGTAAAAAATTAGTGCCCGAAAATTTTCACGCGAAATTTCCATTTTCTTACAAAATAACTTCTTTTAAAATATTATGCAAACAAAACTAGTTGGCTTGGGTACAAACTGTCAATTGAATTATAGATTAAAAACGTCTAATTTTACGGATATGATAGTAGCAGAACGTTGGCGTCACTGGAAGTACTAGATTACAGAAACTTTTCCAGCAGCCTACGTATATGATAATTATGTTCCGAAAATCCATTTTTCAAATATAAACGAAAACTTCTCTATTTGCGAGCCCTGTACGTATTGGTACCGCGTTGGCTGCGCGAAGTAGCGTGAAAGACAAATGCAATACAATCCATCCATACAGTATCAGTACAGTAGCAACTAGGTTGTTCGGAAAGTAATTTCGTTTTTTTTCCAACAGAGAACTTATTGTATTTTTTCACAGCCAACTTCACACTTAAGCCGCATAATCATTATATATTTTGACAGCTGATATAGCAAGGCTTGCTTGTGAATAATGTTCGATTGATTCTACGCAGTAGTTTTTGGTTGATACCCTATCAAATATGATAGTGAAAAGCAGCATTTTCGGCATATTTTACTTTTTTACTATCGAAAAGGTAAAAATGCTGTTCAAGCAAGAAAAAAATTATCCGATGTGTATGGAGAAGATATTGACAGAATGCCAGTGCCAAAACTGGTTTGCAAAATTTCGATCCGGCAATTTTGATGTTGAAGATGCACCACGTTCTGGAAGGCCAGTTGAAGCTGTTGAAGACACAATAAAGGCATTAATTGATGCAAACCGGTGAATAACAACTCGTGAGATCGCTGAGAGATTAAATTTATCGAATTCGACCGTTCATGATCATTTGAAACGCGTCTGATTGAAAATCGTCTTTCATTTTCATAAGAAAAAACGAAATTACTTCCGAACAACCTAATATATTGAAGTAAGAGCTTTTATATATTGTAACAACAATAACAATAATAGTAATAATAGTTTATCAAATTGCTTGCAAAACCAATCTCAAATATTTTTATAGTGTATAAAGGTATGCACGAAATACTTTGGAAAATTAAAAACAAAGCATGAATAAAGAAATTATTATTTTTATAAAATATCATGCATTTAATTTTGGTCTGAAGAACGGCTACTTGCAACATAGTGAAAAAAAAGATACTGTATCAACAGTAATTCCGCATGAATAAAAAATAGTTTTGTGCTCTAAACGAACTACCTTATTTCCACGCAATGCTTCAAAATTTTCTGAATTTTTGAATTGTCTATTTCTCTGTTAAGTGCCTATGCGTACGTGGCAGAAAAAAATCGGAATCAGTAATGTCCATGATAATGAAGCCTCTAGAATTCTAAAAGGGAATAAATATGCAAAATAATATTTACAACTGTATGTGTAAAAGATAAAACTTTTAAATTAATTAAAATAAATATCATATTGACGTAGGTATATGAATCATAATAACTGCAACATACGTTCATACATACACTATTTGTTATTTTATTTAACTACTTTACAAACTGCATGATAAGATAATAAGTGGAACTCTATTTTAATATTAAATTGTGCAGAGTAATATTGATTCTTGTTGAACATTCTGATTTACATTTTCAATAATACGGATGTGTTTGACTCTTGACTATTAACATACATTGCATTTTTTTGCAATAAGTTTATTACAGTTTTTTAAGATTTCGGAAATTTTTGGGGGGATTATTTGTTTCAGATTAATTGTGTGAATCCGATAATCTTATCGGCTCGCAATTTATTTCTAAAAATTATTTCAATTTAAATGAGTGTATAGTATATATAATAGTAGTTCAATATCTTAACACTCGGACCGGTAAGGCGCTTCGTATTTCAAGTTTTAATATACGAGGTCTATTCAAAAAGTATCGCGAATTTTGAATTTCCGCGGGTAACGTATATTCGATTTCCGATTTTTTGTGGCGTTATGTTGGTACTCATGTCTCTCACTTATGCCGACAAGTTCGGCCATTTTGAATGTTCAGTTAATTTTTGACAGCTGCTTTGCTTGCACGTGTTTTGGCTCGTCTTCGATTTTTGCCTATTCCAAAAAATGGATCAAAGAATCTGTATCAAATTTTGTGTGAAAAACAAAATTAAGTG